AGATGCCCCTCCAGACACTATTCTGGGCTTTCATGCCCATGTGCTGTTCAACACTCAGCCACTCAGGGAAGGAGAAGCATGTTTCCATTCTGCAGATGAGAAAACTGAGGTCAGACAGGTGGAGGGTCTGCTGCGGGTCCCACAGCTAGGGGCAGAGCGGGTGCAGAGCGCAGGCCTCCACCTTCCCGAAAGCTGGCGGCCTCAGCCCTTGGCACACTCACCTGCCATCACCCCCTCTGCCTTCATCAGCATGCCTTCCCCTCCTCTGCCTCTCAAACCCACAAGGCCTTCTCCAGCCGGGGGTCCCTGGTTAGGCTTCCTGCTTCCTACCGCTGGAGCCCACAGGGACCGGCCACATCTGTGACCTTAACAAATGGCCACGTTCGAAGACACCCAGGACCAAGGACACAAACAAACCTCCCGGGTAGGTGCCTCCAGGCTGCAGGCCCACCCAGCTCCCTCAGCCCACATGTATTGGTCTAGCTGCCCCAGAGGGGTGCCCCAAAGGGCCAGGCCCCATCTTGTATTCTCTGTGGGCCCTACACATGAGGCACCAGGCCACATAGAGTCTCAGCAACACCTAATGCCTGGCCTGGCATGCCCAGGGAGAAAGCTGCCCCCTTGGCATACTGAGGGGCTCTGAGTCAGGCCGGGTGGAGGGGTCCTGGCGTCCCCTCTGCTCCTCTGGACATGGTCCCTCATTGTGCACAACTCCCCTGCCCAGGAAGAAGGCCCAGATGGAACAACCGCGAAATCACACGCACACCCCCTGCGCCCCCCCCCCCCCAGGGGCTCGACCTACAATGAAAACTACACTCAGCTCACGTTGCAGGCGCCTGCAAAACGTCTGCCCTTCCTGGCACAGCACACGGATGCCCAGCTCCACTGCAGTGTTTCACAGCGCTGGTTGCGACCACCGCCCTGAGCCATGCCTGCTGTGCTGGGGCAGTGCTGGTCTCCTCTGGTCCCTTGTTTTATAGATGAAGACACTGAGGCCCACAGCTGGCGGGCCTCTGGGTCACAGAATTGGCCAGGGCTAAAACCTGTTCCAGCTTAATTAAAAGGGTCACATTTGGGCTCAGGTTCAAATTCAGGCCGTCTTCAGAGAAACTCAGATAAAAGATGAGCTAGTTCAGAGCTTTGGTAAATACTTCCAGCACAGCACCCACTACCTGCCCTGTCCTCTGTTTCAGGGTACCCATGCACACCCCACACCCCTGCACACAGGGCCTCAGTCTGCTCTGCTCACCTGGTGTCCCTCCCCAGCTTGAAAATGCCTGGCCCAGACCCCTGGGCTACAGGCAGGCAGTGGTCTTGAAGCTTCATGAATCTACCCAAGACCCACCCCCTCCACCTTCCTGAAGGAAAGGGATTCGTGTTTCTCCACACCCCATCCCCAGGGCCTCTAGAGTCTTCCTACTCCAACTGGACATGAAGGACAATCCTGTAAAATAGGCACCATACCAGAGAAGCTCACGTGGACAGTTGAAAGGAGCAGTCCCCAGGGTGCTATCTGGCTGCACAGCCCGGGGAGCCACCCGGGTTATCTGCACCCACATGGCCTTGGAGGCCTCCGGCAGTTCAAGTGGGGCCCACAGTTTGCAGTCCTGCTGGTTCACTATGAGGAAACAGTTTCCTCAGGCCAGCTCTGAACGCACCGATGGGCAGAGGGAGATTGGAAATCGGGCTGGGGCAGCCCTCTGGCCTTGGCTCCAGCCTGAGGTCACAGGCTGCCGTCATCCCTGGGAGATGTGCACAGACCATCCCAGGCTGACCCCTGCCGGGCAAAGCGCTCCTGCCCCTTCGCTTCCCAGTGGGAAGTGAGTACCGCACTTCTGCGGGACAGAGCTGCACAGAGCCACTGCTGACAAGGCTCTCCTACCCCTGGGGCCACGTGGCCACGCCAGCCCAAGGCCCACCACACTGTGAGTGCACCCCAACAGCCTTGGCAGTCTGGTAGGGGGCTCCTGGGAACTGGTGAAGCTGGTGTCGCAGAGGGAAAGAACTGATGGGGCAGGTGGGGTGAGGACAGGGTGGGACTTGGGGCCTCTGCAAGGTTCCTACAGCTGATCCTCCCAGGCCTCCCCCACCCAAGGGAGGTGAGGTTACAGATACACGCCAGTATTCAGAAGAGCAGACACTTGAAGGCAACCTAAGAGTGCACCACAGGCCATAGCCAAGTCATCGCAGGGCCCAGCTCCCAGGACGGGCAGGGCCGCCCTGCACCCTGGGAGACACTGCCAAGACGGATCCTCCAACACAAGAGCAGCTGGAGAAATGTGTCTGGAGAATGAGCACGTTTAAAATGTCCGTGTGTGATTGCATTAGGTGCACACACGTGTGCCCACGTGTGCGTGCACGTGTGTGTCTGCCTAGACACAGCCACAGAGGCGACTGCAGTGAGGGGGTGGAGGTGCCACCAAGTGTCATCGGGGGAGGGGTCGTTGGGCCACCTTACAAGCTCCACAGTGACTCTTCAGAAAGGCGCCTCGTCAAACGAATTCAGCAGACTCCCACAGAGAGGCTGTGGCACCTGAGGAATGAGACAGGGCACCCCAAGCTTCAGAGAGACAAGGCAGGCGTGGTCCCCAGGAAACTGCACTGCTGCCAGCACCCCACGGGGCTTCCTAAGGGCCCCGGCTACAAGTCCGGAATGTGGTCTTCAGGCCAACAAGCCCTGTGGCCGTCCTGGGGCACCTCGGGTGCCACCACAAGACACGGGGCAGGACAGCACTTATTTTAGTGGCGGCTTGTGTGCTGGCAGGACAACCAGCAGCAGTGTGTAGGTGGCTTTCCTCTGAGAGAAGAGGAAGAAAATCTCATGTCAAAAACCTAAAATGACCAGGAAAATAATTAACCCAAGTCCCTCAAAAACCCACTGCAGTTACAGACAACCTGTACACAGACTTTTCTTTCTACTCACACAGTAGATGGAAATAGTCATCTGGCCCCGAGCCCCGCTAAAGTCTGTAAACCACTTCAGGCTGCTTATCTTCGGAGAGAAATAGCAGAGCCTTTGCCTGTGCTCTAAGTCTCTCCCTTGCCTGGGGCTGCTTTGATGCTGTGGGACCAACCTTGTCCTTCGCTGTAACATTCCGCTGCAGCCCTGAAACTCCCCCGTGGTTTATGTTTAACCACATGTCTCGACAGGGGCTCAGACTGCTCTAGGCAGCTGCACACTGGCTCCATATGCACACGGCGGCCAGCGAGGGCCAAGGCGGAATGGCACAGGGCCCACCCGCCCCAGGGTCCAGGCATGCTGGAGGGGCTGTGGGAGGAAGTCAGTCCATCGCCGGACCTGCTCTATCTCCAGCATCCAAGTGGTTAGCTCCTCCACCCCCAACTCATAGCGTCTTAATCTTTTACTGAAGAAGCACATATGAACCAAGTTGGGCCAATAATAGCAAAGAACAGTGTAGCCAGTTTGCTTATTAGAGCAGCGCTCCTCAGACTCCAGTGTGCACAGGGCCCCTGGGGCTCTGCCTCCGTCGCCTGGGGGCCCGAGGCTCCCAGGCAACGATGCTGCGGGTCTGTGGGCCACACGGAGCCAGGAGGTCACATGCACAGGAGGAGAGGTGGATACAATGAATGGCAGTCAAGGCTGTGATGGACTTTGAGAGGCAAAGTTGTTTGGGGAGGGCAGGGGAAATAGGGCAGTGCCCCCTAGAAGCGGCAGCAGGTTAACAAGGTCACTTTGTTGTATCCAAAAGTCAACTTGAATACACTTTTACCAGGTTTGGTGAATTTGGTCTGTGATAAAACCTGAGTTTGAGAAACAAACAGGAAACGTGGGGTGCCCAGTGGTCCCCAAGTCACTCGTGACAGGCTGATGGCTGTTCTCAGGTCCCAGGGTCTGGACCCCCTTCTCCGACCCCACCCCCTGTGGCCCCACCACACACACCTCCTCCCTGTCCCCAGCACACCCGTGCTACCCTCTCAGGGCCCTGGACAGCCCAGATGTTCTTCCCCCAGTGTTCTCATGGCTGCTCCTTCTTGTCAGTAGGACTTCAGCTTAAATGTCACCTCCTCAGGGAGGCCTTCTCTGACTGCTGCAATCTAAAGTGATCACCCAGCCACACTCTGCCATGTGTTTGGCGATTGTTTGTCACTACAACATAACGGAGCCTGTCCTGACTGATAGAATGGTACTCAATGAAACTTGTTGAAAAGCTGTAAGCCACCCAGCAGGAGAGTAATCCTGCTCACGACTTCTCCATGGAGGCGGGGTCTGGTGATATAGGACACACAGCTTGGGTTCACGGTGGGTCTGAGATAGCGTCCTAAAGGTATGCTGAGGCTTAAGAGCAGGGGGTTCCACCTCGATGAAGGGGAACCCACGCCCACAGTGACAGACCACAAGGACCTCTGGGCAAGGCAGTCCTGGCAGGGGACAGTGCTTCAGAAGTCCAGGGCCACTGTTCCTGGACTCGCCGTTCATTCAAACCCCCAACATGCACACAACATCCAGAAGCACGCTTGTCACAGAGAATGTGAAGAATTTGTTTAAGGAATCAAAGAATACAGATGTCAGGTGTATCCCTCTTTAAAAGACTCCGTCTTATTTATTGTCCTCCTCTCATAAGTGCTCCACAAGTAGGAGGCAGGGCTGACCGTCATTACTCCAGCACGTGTTTTATTCAGCCTGCATTCACGTTTACTTTTCCTGGGACCAGAGAACATTTCCAAAGCTGAAACATGCCCCCGGATACTCGGATAACCCCCGCCCAGAACCGAACCCAGCACACAGGACTGTGCAAAGCCTCCCCGTGCCGTGAGCACTCCTCATCCTTGTTTCCAAGACCCAGTTCCTTCTGCGGGGATCTAAAGACACCAAGCATTGCCAAGGTGACCGAGAAGGCTGGCCTCCTCCAGGCTGGACGATCCTGCTCCTATTCACAGCCCGGCAGAGGGCTTTGTCGCCAGTGTCTACCTCAGAGACGCGGAGGCCCAGGAGACGCTGCTGGGCGCTGACATGCCCGCCATCAGGGGACACACGGTACCTGTAGGTGATCCTCACTTCAGTTCCAGGCTCGTCTCGCTCCCAGATCAAAGCGACGCTCTCCGGGGACTTCTGAACATGCTGGTCCAGGCAATTGACTGCACAAAAATAGGTTTAGGGACATTACACTTGGTGCTCTTCGAGTCAGAGTTGGGGAGGACCTGGTTTGCTGCGGCCCGTGCTACACTCCCCAGAGGTGGACCTTTCCCTTGAGAAAGGCAAGGTTCTACTTCCTTGCCAGGAGAAGGGTGATTTTCAGAGCCTGGGAAAACGAGACGATCCTATACAAATACGACCTCACACATACAGGGTGATCCTGTGAACACTGTGAAGCAGGCGCTTCATGCCAGTAGTCCCACCCCAGCCACACATTGGCATCGCCTGGCCACCCCAGGGCAACCAGACCCAGTTGGCCACCTGGTTTCCAAGGCTCCCTGGGGATGGACTAGGCAGCTGGGGCTGAGCAAAGCAGCCTGAGCTGCTGGAGAGAAAACTTCATGCACAGAGCACGCCCCCAACTCAGTCTGCAGCTCCTGGGACAAGGACCCACACAGGCTCTCAGGTGTCCAGACAGACCCTATAAACCAGCCTCTGCTCCAAGAAGCCATGCAGCAATGGGGAAGTGCCACGCTGGTTTTCCGGAAGGCTCTGCTCCTCTCCCCCTCCACTAACAAAGCTCAGATCACATGACTGCCCACAAAACACAGGTCAGTTCTGCGAGTTTACTGTAAACCTGAAGATTAGTGGGATCATGTTCACTTGCTAACATCCTGTTCACTACTCTTTTGATTTCAAAGGGAGCGTAGCTCTGGCTGGTTAATGCCAGCACATGCCCCCTTCCAACCAGCCCTCACTGCCAGGTTTTCATCACCCACTTCCCCATCAGTGGGGAAAATAAATACCACGAATAGCTTTGGGGGCCAGCTGCTATCTGCCCCCCTGGTCTTTAGGATCACCCCCATGTCCAAGTATATAATTTTTTTCTTTTTTCCTTTTCAGGGCAGTTACTTATCTTCCCCAAATCAATCTCCACTATATAAATGGGAGATGTAATCTCTGTCACGTATCCCTCCCAGGGCAATGATCAGGATCAAGTGGAAGACTGATGTCAAAGTGCTGTTATGTGAATACAGGTCCTGTAACCAGCGCGAGCTCCCTGCTGTGAGGCACAGACTTCCGTAAATACTTCCTGCTGGAATGCCCTTCTGACAAAGTTATGGAAGAGCCTATCCACAAAGAGCACGTGATCCCCCGATTCCTGAGGGGACTCACATGAAAACAGTTACATACTTTAGCTTGTGTGTGTGTGTGAACTACATTTTTTTCCTCTTGGGTTATTTTATCTATCATTTACTCTTATAATTTAAAAAATTTCATTTCCACTTTATGGCTCCTAACAGGTGTACAAATTATACCTCAAAAAATTTAATAAAGGAAGATAGAGGTCATGGAAAAAATTACCAGTACTACTTACTGATGCAGAAAACTTCTTTGAATTACTAGAAAAAGAGAAGGAATGCCCGAAAAATAGAAGAGAGGAAAAGCAAGAAGACAAACTGACAAGAAGGAGCTGGGTGGCCAAACCTGGATTGTGTGACAAACCCGACATCAGTGTGTGTGTCAATCTGGTCCCAAGTTTAGAAAACAAGAGTGTTCACACTAAAACCAGGGATTTCTGGCTTCTCTGGAACAATCAGCAGATAAGTCCACACCCTCGCTTGAGAACTGAGGTGGTGACCACCCCTCAGCAGGGGCAGACCCTGTCCCCTACCCCTGCCGCCTGGCCCTGGAGGACCTGATGGATAGAACAGGAAGTGGTGCCCCTGAGCAGGTCATGACAAGCCTTGGAGTGCCCAGCTGAGGACCAACAGACTGGGTTACAGCCGTGCACTGAGCAGGGGTCCCGCAGGAGGAAGGCGCCGCTCCCACGTGCACATGAACATCACTGGAGAGCTGGTTACAGATGCACACACTCGGCCTCACCCCAGACCTGCCCCAAGAAGACCCCAGGAGATGTGTGCACACGTGCTTATCCAAGAAGCCTGCTGCAGCACACCTTCTCCCACTCTACGCTGAACCGTCTGAGTCACCATGAAAGTGGCCAACTCAGATACAGCTTAGGAAACAGTGTCCAGGAGATCTGGTGACCCGCCCAAAGTCCAGCCAGGAAGCGGCAGGAAGGGCCTCAGAACATGCATGACGCCTCACCCAGGACTCATCTCCCCTCATTGCCTGCTCCCGGGCAGCTGGGCCCCGGGCCATACCTCTCACTCTGAGAGTGACTGCCTGACTTGGAGCAAGACCCTCACAGCCTTGGAGCCCAGCAGGGCCTCCTGCACCTGCTTTACACCAAGTAGGAGGGCAGAGCTGCGCCAGGTGGAGGGAGAGGACCTGCCACAGAACAGACAGCACCCAGAATGAGACCGACTGTGTGTCATCTCTTCCCAGGGCCGACAGATGGCAGGAATCCAGGCAGGTCAGCACTGAGCCCCAGGTGCAGTGTCCGCTAGGTGCCTTCCTTCACACAGAAGGTGCTGGACAAGTGGCCACCAAGGCCCCAAATGAACTACCTCTCTTCGCTGGTCTTGCTCATTCGGGTGAGCACCTTCCTGCCTCAGGGCCTTTGCACAGTTTCTCCCTGCCTGAGAGATGCTGTCCCACTCCCTGACTGCAGCCCCTCACCTGGTTCCCACCCTCATGCGGGTCTGCACCTCCGTGTCCTCACTCTCTCATTGAGCGCTTCATGCCTCCCTCTGTCTCTCCTGAGATGTTTACAGCTTGCAGCCATCGTGGGCAGGGCCAGAGGTCCTGCTCACGGTCGGTCGTACAAGTGCAGGTAGCCCAAAGAACAGAGCAGACAGAGTGGCAAAGCCTGCATGACAGACAGCATTCCAGTCCTCAAGCTGAGGGGGACATTGGGGTCCAAATGACGATAGGTTGACCCCATGCCCAGGGGAGGGAATAGACCTCTTCCTCTCTTTGTGGCTTTGTCCCTCAAGAAAGTCTCTTCTTGGCCTAAATCAGCACTTCTAAGGCCCCCAGAGTCCCCCAGAGGGCTTGTTAGCACAGCGATGGAAAGGCCTTGCCCTGAGGCTCCAAATGAGCAGTGGGAGTGGGCCTGAGCATCTTCACCTCGAAGAAGACCTGATGCGACACCATGCTGCTGGTGCAGGACCACGCTGACGGACAGACACGTCTGCACGCACGTCTCCTTTGTAAGTACACTCCAGATTCCAGAGGGTCTCTCCTGTCCTATGGGGACAGAAGTAATTAAACATGCTTGCCTGCTCTGTAGGACATCTGGCCACGCCTTCACTGGATGGCAGCCTGGAGTCACGGGGAAACCACGCTCTTGAGTCTGGCCCCTGTCCAACCAGTCACTAGCCACAGACAATGCACTTGTAACTTAATCTAAATCTCACTTTCCTAATCCATAGTGGGGGGTAACGGCTCCTGACTCTGGGAGTGACCGTAAGAGTTAGATACCATTGGAGAGTTTCTTGTCACGGGGTCAGATGGTGTGGCAGTGTTCCCATGGGAAACAGTTCACTGCTCCGTGAATGACACTCAGATGATACGGGCACCTAGAGAAAGCACAGTGCAGGGTGTGGGGTGACAGGGCCCTAAAATGCCATGTATGTATAAAAACACATATTTATAGTTCCTGCTATTGCCTCAATGGCAGGGAGAAAAGAAGGGAGGCAAGAAAGGAATTCTTACATGTCCCCATTTAAAAAATAGCTCCAACCAAAGAACTGGGCAGTGGGACAAGAAAATTCCATTTCCAAGCATTTCCAAGAAGAGTTGGGCGAGGACCAAGCACAATTTAAGGCTCAGCTCAAGCCCTGCCTCCTGCTTCAAGCCTTTTCCAAATTCCCAGCACATGACGATCTCTCCCTCTCCATCACTCATCAACAGTGGCTCACACTATTTAATGCCTGCTTCCTCTGCCCAGTGGTCCCCATTCTGGGACACAAGGTGAGCTCTACTAAACCCTCCCCTGAGGTTCCAGAGGGCAGGAACCACGTCCCTAGGGTTCCTTTATTATGGGGGTGGGGTGGATGACACCGTAATTCTCCCCTTGTGGCAGTAAAAACCTTGAACAGGTTACCCCAGAATGGATTTGCTCCCTGACTGATTTGTGGTCCATCTCCTCATTAGAATGCAGGCTCCGTGGCACTGGGGCATTTCCTCACTCTTCGTCACTATCCATGAATTGGAGCCTTTATTTCCACATCCGTGCAATGGGACCACCAACCACTTCACGCTGGAGTCGTGAGGAAGAGAGGAGATGAGAGTCCACTGTGTTCACCGGAGTGCAGGTCTGCGCCCCAGCCCTGACACAGCCCTGCGAGCGGCTGAGCAAACGCTGCTGGTGGTTCAGGGGTTTGGGGTGTTGTTTTTAATGAAGATTACAAAGGCTTATCCTTTCCATTATAAAGGTGGCGCTCACGTATGTAGGAATTTTCAAGAACTCTTGTTGGTGGTTTAGATCCAGCCCTCCCCCTCTCCAACTTTAAGTGAAACTTCATACAGAAATTCAATTTAATCAAAAGAAATGAGGGACTTAATATTCACAAAAGGGCTCACAATGGGTTTTCTTTAAATAGAAAATCTCCCTGGCACACATTAAGATATTACATAGCCACAAAAATTGTATTTGCCAACTTTCCAGAAGCATTTGCTATTTAAAGTCAGTCATGCCTCTGACAACTGGGGACGTTTCAGACTCTTTTGGAGGACTCTCTTCCTAAGACCTGGGGTTACATTTTCATTTAGAGTTCCTTGAGAGACCTTAGACAAGTTACTTTAACCACTGAGAGAAAAAAGAAGGCCAGGCCAGTAGCGCCTTGCCATTCTCACTGTGTCTGCCTTCTGGCACACTGAGAGGAGAGAGGAGTGCAGCAAAACGGTTTCCATTGCTGCAACTAATGTTCCAAAAAGCATCCAAGAAACCTCTGTGTTCAATGCTTGGTTAAAAATAGTTTCTCTACACCCTTGCTTGAAAGTAAGAATGTATACACTTTTAAAAAAATCAACTCAGAACTTGGTGTTTAGAAAATAGAGTTTAGTGGCGTGTTTTGAAAGCAACACATGT